ATCTCTCTGCCAACATTATCAGTTGCTTCCAATTAGCCAACAAGCAGCAAAGTTAATTGATCTTATTTCATTTGTTTCCCTTCTCCTAGTCTACTTTGTATTGCTGTCATGCCAGATAACTTTGGAATGGGTCCAGAGACCCCATAACCTAAACAATGAATCCTCCAGTATCAAGAACAATTGCAACTATTGCCAGAAACATGAACCAAATTCTGGAGCAGTTGCTGCTCCACTGCAGTAATATGAGCAATCTCTTGCCTAACCAGTAGGTGGAGGCACACACAAACCTATTGCTTTGGTCTTTGCTCCACAGAACCTTCCTTCCATCTTTTAGAAACTGATGGGTTTGCCTTGTTATTTACTTTAAATCCAGATCACAGAGCCCAGGAAAAAACTGAACAAGGACAACTATTGAGGTGAATTTATGAAAAAATAATGATAGAAAAGAACAATCTTAACTTTTCAGGCTCTTTTGAAAAATATTATTCTAACTGTGAATTTATAATCTACTTCTAGATCCTTAGAACTAAGCAAATAATTCTAAATCTGGGTATATGTACTTTAAAATCCACGTTTAACAACAAAAACCTGAACATCAACTGAATATGACTTGATATGAAGGAGTTACTGCTGAGTTTGCTCGGTAGAGCAATAGTATTATGATAATTTAAATAAGTCCTTATCTGTTAGAAATACTAACAAGAATTCTGATAGGTAAAGGGTGCTGCCTTAGAAGTCTCCAGGAAAAAAAGCATCATGAAGGATAGATAGGCTAAGAATGGAAGATTGTTGATAACTGTTGAAGCAGGCTGACAAGTACATTAAGGTTCGTTATACTATTCTTTTTATTTGAAATTTTCCCAAATTCAAGGTTAAAAAATAACAAAGAAAAAGTTATGCGAAGGTGATTTGGGTTAATATTGGTATTAAGTAAATGTGCAATAAAATGAAGCACCATATCAATATATAGCCATTGGTCAAATGTGAACTTCAATCAAAACTGAATCATACACAATTAGATTCAACATTAAGAAAACAAACTAACCCCTTAAGTCCACAGTTGTAAAGCATTTTACCAATTTACAAAGTGAATCTAGTTTGCTCACCAAGTTCTTAAGCCTTACAAAGAGTTTAAAAGTGAGAAACAGACTTGAGAGGTTACAAGAATTGACCAGTCACATACTTAGTAAAAATGATAGTTGGGGTACTATCCCAAGTTTTGTGACACCAATGGCTATCTTCTTTCTGCTATGTTGTCATTTACCTTCTTTGAAACTGCAAACATGAAATTTAGGCAAATTATAAAATTTTGCTTTCTATGCTCACTTAGTATATGCTAAAACCTGCCTTTAATTTGTCAGTGAATAAAAATATAGACAGAAACATATTTCTTGTGTAAGAATAGAATTAAGCCTGAAAAGGTGACTTTAAAAGATATAATATCTTGGGGCCCTCCCTGGTGGCGCAGTGGGTTAAAGCACAGCACAAAGAAGCTTAAGCCACTTGCATGGGTTCGATCCCCGCCTGCTCCAGAGGAGATCCACATGGCGCGGCAGACCTCTCCTGACCGGCCCGCTGCTCCCCTCAGCAGTGTACTTCTTCTATCTGCCTGTTCTGCTCCCCACTCTGTCTCTGGTGGATCCTCTCACCCTCCGCATCTCTGGCCTGTACCCCGGTTCTGTATAAATAAATAAATCTTTAAAAAAAAAGATATAATATCTTAAAATTTGAAGGAACATTAGTTTGGACATTAGTCCAGGATTAGAGCCATTATCTCCAGCCCCTTTGCATGATTCAGCTGCAAGGTGAACATTTCTAGTAAGGAAGTGCAGACTCTGAGGTGGCCCATTTCATTCCTGGAGTTAGTCTAATCTTTAAAGAACCTTTCCTGCTTAGAAATGAAACCTGCCTATGTTTGTCTGCCACTTGGTAATTCTAGTTATAATTCCTGATGCAACACTGAATAAGCATATAATCCTCTCCTACATGATGATCTTTCAAATGACTGAAGTCATTCATTATGTTTTATCATGGATTTCTACTCCAGGGATATTTTAAGCAAAAGAAAAAAAACAGATCAACAGATTCTTAGGTAAAAAAAGCCTCCCAGTCTTTTTGATAGCTCTTTGGTCTTCAAACTGGAACTCAGGTATCTATCTCTGGGAGCACCCAAAGTATTTCCAGGGGATACATGAATTATTATATATATATTTTAAAGATTTATTTATGCATACAGACTGGGGTACAAGCCAGAGGTGCAGGGGCGGTGACAGGATTCACCAGAGACAGAGTGGGGAGCAGAACAGGTAGACTGACGAAGTACACTGCTGAGGGGAGCAGCGGGCGGGTCAGGAGAGGTCTGTCTTGCCATGTGGATAACCTTTGGGATCAAACTGAAGCTTCTGCGCCTCCTGCCACCAGGGAGGGCCGAATAAGTACATTTTTAAGGTATTCAATTCCTATATCTTCACTTGCCATTATCTGACCTGTAGTCTGATTTTCCTTTGAAATCTCCACTTATAAAAGACCCACCTAAAAAGATAAACCACTCACCCATCCTGAAAAGCCTGCCCAGTTTTAAAGAGTCAACTGAGGGAATGCCAACTTCCTGAGGGTGGGAGGGATCCTTAGAGCAAAATAGAGATATGGAAAGAAAAGAGAGAGCACATGATTTCATCCAGGCCATATCTAAATCAATAGGAAGATGACTGTCACATGGACGTCTATTAACACTTCAATTATATTTGATAAATTGAGTCAGATTTGGCTATGGGTGATGACTAGCTTTATCATTTAGGTCATATGGCAGACATTTTCCACAAATTGAATGGCATAAAGTTATAGTTGTACAGTATTGAAGAAATTATACCTAAAGGAATATACAGAGCATCAAAGGAAATATCCTCACAATACAAGCTTTTACATATCAATAAAAATTGTGAGGAGGTACATAATTCTTAAAATATTTATAACAAGTTGTGATTCCATGACAGAATTTCCAGGCTCTTTCCCACTCTTTTATCCCCTTCCAGAAGCACGTTAATGTTCTGCTTAATATGAACACAGCAGGTAGAGAACAAGCAATATATAATACAAGGGAAGTATTGTTCTGAATACTGTGTATTTCTTTTCTTTTTTTTAAAGATTTATTTATTTATGCATATAGAACTGGGATACAGGCCAGAGGTGCAGAGGCAGTGAATGAGAGGACTCACCAGAGACAGAGTGGGGAGCAGAACAGGCAGATTGACAAAGTACACTGCTGAGGGGAGCAAAGGACGAGACAGGAGAGGTCTGCTTTACCATGTGGGTCACCTCCCTGACTGGGAATCAAACTTGAGCTGAAGTGGCTGTGGCTAGCTTTGCTTTAACCCATTGCACCACCAAGGAGGGCCCTGAATACTATGTATTTCTTTCTTTTTAAAAAAAAGATTTATTTTTTTATACATACAGAACTGAGGTACAGCCCAGAGGTGAGGGGAAGTGAGAGGATTCCATAGAGACAGAGTGAGGAGCAGAATAGGCAGACTGACAAAGTGCACTGCTGAGAGAAGCAGCGGGCTGGACAGGGGAGGTCTGCTGAGCCATGTGGGCCATCTCCCTGGCTGGGGATTGAACCTGTGCTGCAGTGGCTTCGATAGCTTCATAGTGCTGTGTGTTAACCCATTGTGCCACCAGGGAGGGCCCTACTATATATTTCTAATTAAAGTAGCCAAAGCTTCCATTCAGGGCTTTCTAAGCTGTTGCAAACATCTGGCTAAAATGTTGACCTCTTTTTCACAATTAAATTCTCAGCAATCTTCACTTACATATTTGAATGAAGGAACCTATATTAAAAGGTCATAGGTTTTATGTTCATTGTTTTAACTCCTTTAATATAAGCTTAAAAAATAATTTACAATTTTTATCTAGAATTCAATATATTAGCTCTCCCTCCCTAGGGGGAAATTTCTGACAAAGCTTCCAGTGATCAGCATCTCCTGATATTTGTGTCCCTGTGTGACCCCCTGTACTCATGTGTGAGCTATATCGAATAAATTATTTCTAATTAGAATGTGGCAGAATTGGTGATGTATGACTTCTGAGATTAGGTTATAAGACTGTGACTTGCACTGTCCATATTCTCTCTTACTCTCTTGTTTGCTCTGTTGAAGCCAGGTGTCATGTTATGAACTGCTCCATGGAGAGGCCCAAGAGACAAGGAAACTAGGGAGGCCTCAGCCAACAGCTCACATGGAATTAAGACTCTCATCCAACAGCCTCCAGCTAATAACTGTATCAATGAGTTTGGAAGTAGATCATTCCTAGTGGAGCCTTAAAAATGACTTCAGCTTTGGTTAACACCTTGACTCAGCTTTGGTTAACACCTTGACTTCCACCTTGTGGGATATCCTCAACAAGGCCACTGGTTAAATTTTGGACAGAATAAGAGGTATTTTTTAAAGCTTTATAAATCTATTTGGACACAATCATTTAGTCACCTATGAAACTACCTAGTTGTATTAACTGTAGCTTAGATTTCTCCATCTTATTGACATCAAGTGATTAATTAAAATAAAGATTCACTATTATCTGTAGGACTTCTTTCATATGCTATTGTGGTGACTATATCAGAAAGGTAAATCATCAAGGTAAATCATTCCTTGTTTTTAAGTTGTCAGAGAGGCTTGCTACATGGAGGCTTCCAACCTCATCCCAATACTTTTTACTAAAAATCCTGTGGTAAGAATTTTTATATTTTGGGGTAACCTACTGCTTTGAACTCTATTTTTTTAGCTTTTTTTCAGAAGCATGCTAAAAATGTGAGGGTAACTGAATGTGTCAACTTTTGTTTCTTCGGTCATTATGAACTTTAAGATGAAGTAATCCCTTTATTCTTGTTACTCTAAGTCTTCTAAGCAGATGAGTTCACAACTACTGTTAAATTTTAAGTGTTACCATTATCTCAAACCAACATTGCTTAAAACTTTAACTTATAAAAAAAGAAAATGTACACTCACAATTCAAAAACCATGTAAAGCATTCCATCTGAGCTATATGTCTCCAATAACTCTACAATGTGGGGATGTTTCAGCATATGACAGATACTGGCTTCCCGCTTTAGATCTGCAAAACAAACATATAATATGCTTTGTTAGGTAGGAACAAAAGGCAATCAGAGTGAATGATGAATGAATGGATGTGGTCTATGGTAACATGACAGCTTCTCTAACTAAAGAGATGAAATCCCCCATTTGAACCAAGCCTAACATTTTACCCTTTAAAATCTTTGACAGTAAAACTTATCATTTTTTTACCAGCTTAAATCTATATACATTAGAGTAAACTCTTATTAATATGAACTATAAATAAGACATCATCTTCACATATACTTTCCCTGTACTCTTAGAGTCAAGTTTCAAAATTTAGAACTCTTTCTTGAGTTTTTTTATTAAAAAGTAACTCAATTCTCTTGAATTTTATCTTTTTTTTAGTTTTCCCTACAGTGGATAAGAAAATCTTTTCTGTTCTTTAACCTAAAATCTTGCATTTGCAGGCACATACAAGAGAATTTATATGAAACAGGGGGCAAAAAATAGTGTTGTTTTAACAGAACAGGCACTACTTCCAACATGAAAGTCAGAAAATTTTTTATTTTTTAATTAAAAAAAAAAAGATTTATTTATTGGCCCTCCCTGGTGGCACAGCAGGTTAAAGTGCAGCACTGCGAAGCTGGCCGTGGCCACTTCAGTTCAATACCCTCCCCAGAGGTGACCCACATGGTACACAGGGATCCACATAGTGCAGCAGACCTCTCCTGTCTTCCCCACTGCTCCCTTTAGCAGTGTACTCTGTCAATCTTGCTGTTTTACTCCCCACTCTGTCTATGGTGAATCCTCTCACTGCCCTTGCCAGAGGTGTGGGGGGAAGGAGTGAGAGGATTCATCAGAGACAGATTGGGGAGAAGAACAGGCAGACTGACTGAAATACATTGCTGAATAGTGCAGGGTGGGTCAGGAGAGATCTGCTTTGCCATGTGGCTCACTCCCTCTACGGGGATCAAACTCATGCTGCAGCAGCTGTGGTAGTTCCATAGTGCTTTGCTTTAACCCACTGTGCCACCAGGGAGGGTCCAGAAAACATTTTACATCTTCTGTAAAATGTGTTGCATAATTCAGGACACAACCTACAGTGTTATTCTGAAGAACAAGTTCCATAATACAACTAAGACCACTATGTAAGTCATAATACTGTATGGAAAATTAAACCTTGGACATCATCATCACCACATGAAATTGTCTGGGAAAACAGATGAATGGATCAAAAAGCTATGGCACACACACACACACACACACGCACACACACGCACTGGAATACTACTCAGTGATCAAAAATGATAAACTCATGCCATTTATGGCAGCATGGATGGAGCTGGAAGGGATTATGCTAAGCAAAATAAACCAGAAGGAGAAAGATAAATATCAACTGGAGTCCTTTGTAGGTGGAATATAGAGAAACAAAAAACAGGCAAACAAATCTTAAAACCAACTGTTGAGAGTAGACTGTAGAACTGAGGAATCCACAAGAGGGACAGGAAAGGTGAGAACAGGGAGTGGAGGAAGCACAGTGGACCATGGTGGGGACTATGGGTGCTTTGGTGGTGGGTGCACCTAAAGGGAGAGAGGCTATCCTTGGTGCTTCAATATGATTTTTTTAAAAAGAACACTTTGGGTGTGGGGATCAGTTGCTTCATCTAGATGGAAGAAGATAATTAATGCTTTCCCATGGTAATAGCGTTGGGGTTTTAACTGTTTTGCAGATGAATAAAATCCAATGTGATATTTTAATTCTTGAAAGTAGAAGGGAGACAGGTAAAGAAGAAGAAAGGGTAAATAGGGCTATACTGCACAAGGCAAAAGAGATCACATTATGTCCTATGTGATTGATTATATCAACTTAGTCTTGTCAACAAGAACAATGGCTGCAGATGGAATCATAGCAGACTTACACAAGGGTAGAATAAGGAAAACAAGTCAGTAAATTAGACAAAGGAGAAGCCACCAGAAAAGGGAAGAATCAACAATGCAATGCTAAGAAAATCAAAGAATTAGGAGGAATTAAAGCATGAGAAGTCAGAGGAGGCTGAGAAAAGTCTGTAAGATTCATTTAGCAAAGACCAATATATTCTGGGTAAGACTAGTTCTGTGGAGGTTCAAAGTCAACATGCAGGAGATAATTATGTAATAAAAAAATGTATCATGTCTCTCACTGGGTTTACTAAAACAGTATCGTTTACTGTCCCACAAACTGTGAGGTAGGTATTATATAGGCAAGGAGAATGAGGCTTAGGAAGATGTGCAGGACTACACAGCTATCATTATGGGGTAGGTTTTCAGCACTGGCATGTACAGTTCCAGTAGCCGTCCTTTCACGATGCCAGCCCAGCTTTAGACATGATCAGATTAGAAGAATCTGGCAGTAGGAAGAGAATAACAAGGTCAGAGAAGGTTTGATTTGTTTGTCTGCTTTTGCTGTTGTTTTAATGGGGACACTGTGTTTTTAAGTAGCAGTGATGAAAAGCTCACAGATGCTGGAGTCAGACAACTTGGTGCCAGTCCTGCCTCTGTCACTGTCACGTGCTGGCCAACTGCTAACCTCTACAAGTGCCTTCCTTACAGCAAATGAAGTCAGGAAGGCAACAGGTGATGTAGGGCTTACTAAGTGACTTCAGAAGGTGATGGTAAGATTCAAAAGAGGAAACAGATGAAGGACTGTGTGGACTGCACCAGTGCTGGGCAGAAAGGGCTGAGGCCACTCACTGTTCATAGTAAAGGAAGAGAGCAGACGTGCAAGAAAGATGGTCTCCACCTCCAGAACTAGATAGAATGGTCCTGCAGGAGACGAGAGGAGTGGTGTGAATCAGGTTGAATTTTATGCTGAGAAGTTGTAGCTATGAGGAAAGCTTTTGAGGGCGCTGGCTACAGGCAGAAAACATAAATTGGACACCTGCACATTTTTTTTTCTCTCACTTCAAGAATGAAAAGTTTAGGGTTTTTATTATTCATTTGTATGTGTCTCTAGCTTATCATTTTATCAGATGTTACCATTTGCATACCTTTTGTTTTTGCCAAAATTTCTTTCTCCCCATTTCTTTCTATTCTGATAAAAAACCCGATTTCCTCTCTGCTCTGACCTTGGAGTCAAAAAGTAAACAGAGATGTAGTGTTTCCCACAAAGATAACTTTTGTTTTTTTTTGCCCTGTTTTGAGTCTATTTATATTTTATCCCCTTCATGTAACTATATTCACATTCACCATGCTACATTTTTAATACAAATAGGCTAAGTAGAAATGGATGCTCCAAAGACCCCTCCATTTGACCCATAGGTGGTAAAAAGCTTGGTAAAAAGCTTGACGTGCTCCTGGCCTCTCTCTTTCACCTACCTACCCTCAAAATGAAGGCAGAATTGCTGATGATCCTGCCTTCAAAAATTGAGACATGACATTTCAGGAAGAAAAATCAAAATACTCATTAAATTGCACAAAGCAAACAATATAAATACATAGAATAAAAGGGCATGGTCATTAAAGATGGCTATGTAAATAGGATAGTTATTGTACCATTTTCCATAATTTCAGTATTGATTAAATGAGTATATTAAATAGTAAACCCAAAATCAGTCAAAAAACTTCACAAATGTCTCATATATATATGCATCCAAACTGTATTTTGAGAATATTAAAATCAAAATGTTTGCTTTAGATGCAAATGTGAATTAAAGATATGTGTACCGAGTGCCATTAATTCCTTGCTGACATAGCAATATAAAAATAGTATTTTCCTACAAGTCAACTCATGAAGCAGAGTAGGAAGGATTCAAAAGTAGGTGATAATATGATTTGAAGTTGTGATTATCTGACTGCCTGCATACTAGCACAGAACATTCATGTGAGTGTCCTGGCTTAGTTACTGTCAAGGTTTTTTTTTTTTAAAGATTTATTTTTATTATTTATTTATGCATACAAAGACTGACTGGGGTGTATGCCAGAGCTGCGGGATGGGGGGCTTAGAGGATTCACCAGAGACAGAGTAGGGAGCAGAACAAATGGGTTTACTGAAATACACTGCTTTAAAACAAAGATTTATTTATTTATGCACACAAGAACTGGGGTACAGGTGAGATAGGAGAGGCCTGCTGTGTCATATGGGTAACCTTTCTGGCAGGGGATTAAACTCATGCCACAGTAGCTGGCAATAGCTTGATAGTGCTGAGACTTTAACCCCTGTACCACCAGGAAAGTCACTGTCAAAATTTTGAAGTACCTTTTTGTCTACAGTATCAGTTAACTTTCCACTCTTTCTTATATGTTTGCATTTTGTAATCTCTTAGGGAAATTTAAAAATATTTGGAAGCCCATTTTATGTTTAGAGCTCTTATATAGTTAACTAAGTGCCTAGATTTTATCATTTCATTTCCTTTTAAAAGGAGGACTAGCAATATGGAAAGAAGTATTTAACTTTCTGATCAAAAGTGTATAAAACATGCTTAAATCAACCTGCTGTATGCCATGATCATGACATAACATGACTTAACCATGACAATGACTACTAGTTTCCTAAGAAATAACAGCTGTCCAGGAACAATAAAGCAACTATGTCTTTCAGCATCAGTCTGTCCCTCAATTGAGGGGGAGTTAGGGAATCTGTTTCATGTGATCTGTATTAAGGAGAATTTATTGGGAAAGTATTTATTATTCACTTTATGAGTAGTTGTTCCTGTGATAGGAGAAATTTTCATAGTATGTTTTAAAAGTCAAATGCTACTTTCAGAATGCCACAATTCTGCAACAAGCTAGTTTGACTATAGTCAAAAATAATTTGGGATTTCACAAATATGACCGAGTTAAGAGATGACTTTTGATGTTTTAGGTGTTGGAAGAGCAATCTCAACCTTCGTCTCTGAACCTAACAGATCTAAATTTAAGAGTTAACTTCCCGAGAAAAATTGAGTAAGGATATAGATTAGCACCATTCAATAGAAATATAATGCAAGTAAGATATATAATTCAAAATGTTCCAACAGACACATTAAAAGATAGGTGAAATTTATTTTAATAATGTATTTT